CGCCTCCCCGCGCAGGGGTCGAGGGACTGGGTCGCCACACACGTCCTCTAAGCAAGAGGCCGTTAGGGAGCTCCCCACTGAGACCTGAAACCTGCTGGAAGGAGAAGCCTGGCATGGGGAGCCGGGGCTGGAACCTGGGACTCCGGATGCTCCACCTGATTGACGCTTCCAACAACTGCTGGCAATTGTGAAAGCAAAATGCCCCGGACAGTTAAGGAGATTTTATTTAAACTGTTGCTACAGAGGCAACGTTCGTGAATGAGGAAGGTCTCAAAGAAAAGGAAGGGGGCCGGGGTTTTAGAGAGGCAGGTCAACAAGGGAGTCAGCGAAGTCTTACACGGAAACAGTAAGAAAGGATGGAGACCGGTCTTTTCTTGGAATATGCAAGATCGATGTGGTCCTTTGAGGTAGCTGTTTCCCCGGAATTAAAGTTCATCACTGTCATAGTAAATGGAGCATGCTGCAGGATGGCTATTTAAGTGAGTTTTCAGGCTGAGACAAGATGCTAACTTGCAGACACCAAAACAGCAAGGAGTCCTCAGCGTGAAGGGCAAAATTCTCTGGGAGAGTGAAATCAGAAAGTCACAACGCAAGGGATGAGCCCAGCCAGTAGCAGAACTGACCTGCTCCAGGCGGCGCTTCCAGTTTGATAGAGTGTATGAGAGAAGGGTTGGGATTACCCAGATTAGCCCAGAAAAGAGGGGGGAGCCATGAAGATACAGTGAAGACCCCTAGTTAAGCCTCAGGGCCTGAAACGGGGGCAGTTCTGGGATTCAGCTGCTGTCTGTCTGTCTGTCTGTATGTCTCTGTCTCAGGGCACCCACTGTTATCTCTTCTCACCCATGTTCTTTCTCACCCACAATCTCTATGCCCCCGTAACTTCAAGTGGCACTTGACCCCCTGCGACCACCCCAGTGCCTGAAGCTTCTCTCTGGCTCTTTTAAAACCCCTCTGTAAAGACAGCCGGTTCTTTCAAGCCAGGCCCATAGTCAGTGAATGCAGCCAAACTATGCCCTGCCTGGCCTCTGGCCCCTTGGTTGTGCCAGGTGGGATGAGTGGGCTTACATGATCTGCTTCTCCCAGGGGCTGGAGGCAGGACAGCGGCCCTCAGAAGAAGTCAGCAGTGGCTGCATCAAGGTGGTCCAAGGCTAAATTTTGGGAAGCCAGACTAGAAATGTCATTTTCTCCAAGCACTTAAGCCCATTCATGGGTCCTGAGCTTCATCTGAAGGTGTTAACTGAAGAGGTTGGTCTAAATGGCTGGAGAAGAGGAAGGCAGTGTGATAAGCCTGGGTAGCGGCCCTGGCCAGCTGACGCAGCTGTCCAGCCTCCTTGACAACCATCCTCCTTCTTGGCGTAAGGGTTCATGCTCTAGACCAGGGGTTGGCAAGCTACAGGCAGCAATCCAAATCTGGCCCATCGCTACCAGTTTTTGCTTGGGCTGAGAGCTACAAATGGCTTTCATATTCTTAAATGGTTGGAAAAAAGTAAAAGAAGAATAATATATCAAGACATGAGGAAGATATGGGAAAATCAAATTTCTGTGCCCATAAATAAAGTTTTATTGGAACACGACTATGTTCGTTCATTTCTGTATTGTCTCTGGCTATTTTCACAACACAGCAGCAGAGCTGAATAGTTGCAACAGAGACTGCAAAGTCTAAAATATTTATTGTCTGGCCCTTAACAGAAATAGTTTTCGACCCCTGGGCACTCCTAGCTTGATGACACTAGCTGTAAAGATCACTGCTGGCACTGAGCCTGTTCACCAAGCAGGTTCCAACAAGCCATTTGTCAATCCAGGTGGCTTTTCTCCAGGGAAAGGAGACACAAGGAATGATGACAGGAAAGAAAGACCCCAGTGAGCAGTCACATTTCTCATAGTAAGTGATCAGATAGCTTCCTGATCTATAGGTCAGTCTCCCTGAATTGGCCTGCATGACACTTTCTTGAGTCTCACAAATTCAGGGACTGTGTCAGCAGGAATTGTTGGTTGGAAGTGACAGAAACCCAATTTGGACAGTCTAAAGGAAGTGAGAAATGTGTTAAGAAGGCCTTGGCATGTGTCCTGGGACCCATGTCGGGCATGCAGCTGGGCCTCAGGGAAGTGGAGATCCCTTGCTTAGATGTCCTTCAGCCCGGTTGCCCACTCTCCCAGCTCCCTCTGCATGCCCACTGCCATGACCTTCTCCGGGCTACATCTTACACCATAGGGCCTTGAGGAGAGACGATCTGACCCAAGTCCAAACATCCTGGAGAAAAGTGGGCTCTGATTGGCATGTTCAGGTGCCCACCCCCGGTGATCCACTGTGCCCACCTTCCCACTGAACAAAATGGTTTCTGATAACCAGTGCAGGGGGCGGGGATACTGGAGGTAGGGAGGCAGTGCTAGAATGAGCTTCTTATGGTGCTTCTCTGGTGTTTCTTTTTACCCCTCTGCTCAGGCCATTCTGCCCCCCATTTCCAACTCCTCCCCACCTTAACAAGGCTGGCTCTTTCTGTCCTTTAAGACTCAAGTTGGCTGTCATCTCCTCCTGGAAGCACCTCCTAACCCTCCCTCCCCCCACCAGTGCCCCTCCTTTCTGCTGCCATAGCAACCATAGCAACCCTCCCTTGCTGACTTCTGTCCCTGTCAGCTCCTCCCAGCTGCTGAGTTACTTGAAGACTCGGCCATGTCTTATCCTCAGGCCCAGGGACCCAGAGGAGGTTTGGCAAATGTTTAACGGATGAATTGATTCTGAGGGCTTGGATTCAGTAGTGGGGGTGATTTTTTGGAAGGGGATCCCAGGACTTCCTTTCTGACATTTCTCACGTGATACAGGGGCTAAGAACCCGAGCTTCCACCACATACTAGCTGGGCAAGTCACCCAACCTCCTGAGGTTCCTAACCCCCCCAGTTTCCCCATCTGTAAAACGGACATACTGATAGTATCTACTTCAAAGCACCACGCGAGTGTTAAATGAGATACTGCTTAGCACAATTCCTGGGACACTATAAATACTGATTATTTTTATTTAGTAGTCTTACTATCATCATATGCTCCTTCACTCCCCAGCAGAACTGGCCACTGACCCCACGGCTGTGCGGAGACCAGGATACACCTCCCCAGCCCTTCGAGATCCATAAAACAATCATTACTCCATCAATACAACAAAAGCTTAGACTTTAGCCTCACTGGATTTATCTAACAAAGGTAGCATCATCCCATATTTTTAAATTTTTGGAAAATATAACAAAAATATCAAAGTCTAACACATTTTCCAACCTTTTCCCCCTAAATATGTAGTTCTAATCACACTGTATCTACATATTTGCATTCTATTGTCCATCAGCAGCATTAAATCATGCCTGCAACACTGTCATAGATAGTGCCGAATATGCCATTTCTCCACTTTTCAGGAGAGGACTGTTAAAGGATAATTTTCTTTTTCTTTTTTTCCTTTCTGTCTTTTTTACTGATCGGTAACGGGATCGCAACCCTCGGTGTCGCACCCGTACCAGGGACCGGCAACGGGATCGCA